CCCGGTTGATATGAATTGGATGTTCTTGTTGAACATAGATAGTTAGAAAAATATACAATATCTCTTTCTTTGAATGTCTGAAGACAATAAGGAAATGCTTTTAACTTTTATCTGTGTACTCATTTTATTTATGGTTCTATGCCAAGAGATTCCAAACAATAGCTGACAAAACTGCTCTATATTTATGTGCAGTTTAGATATTCAACAGTATAAAAGTGTATCTCTTGTTGAAGTTTGATCGTTAAAATTGTATACAAGAAGTCAATTTCTTCGATGAAATGTCTGAATACAAGCAAAAATGCTTCTAACTTTTCTGTGTATATAGCTTTTTCAACTGATGGTTCTGCCTTTTCTGTTGCAGAATATGCTTACACCATGAAAGTTACGGAAAAATGTGATATCTATAGTTACGGGGTAGTCCTTTTGGAGTTGCTAACCGGAAGAGCACCAGTACAGCCCCTAGAACAAGGTGGTGATCTCGTTACATGGTCGAGGCATTATATTAGAGAACATTCGTTGACATCGGGGATACTTGATAGCCGATTGGATTTAGGAGATGAAACTACTGTTAGTCATATGCTCACAGTACTAAAAGTTGCTTTAATGTGTACTAGTATGTCGCCATTTGACCGTCCTTCAATGCGCGAGGTTGTTCCGATGTTGATTGAGTCTGATGAGCAAGAAGGGAACTTCCTCTCATCTCCAGTTTATGATCTCCCTTTGAAAGATAATTCCTTTTAGATGCATGTAAGAAGCATATCTCAATTAACTTTGGTAAATTTTTTAGAGCTAATTCTCCTTACTATATTTTTTTTCTTATTGTTAAATTATAGATATTACAATGTATATTTCTTATTATAGTGAAAATTTCATCACTCACTTTGTAGAGGCTAGTTTGTAGGTGATTGATGCTATTTCAACCCTTCTCCATCTTAAGGTTATTGAAAATAATTACTAATTAGTATGTCTTATGCTGTTCTCTTAGGACCTAGATCCATCTACTGTAATCTGGGTTCTGGATTGCTGCTCTTATGCTAAACACATACCCCCCCCACCCCCACACACACACACAAATTTCACCTGTTTTTTACAAATTCTCTTCAGTGTTTTACAGAACTAAATATCTTTTGCCTCTATTTTTTAACTTTTTGATAGGGAGCATTTCACTAGGCGAAGCTTAGTGCATCGGGTGTCCTTTCTGCCCAAAGTGGTATTTACAAAACCATAGCTGTAACCCCCTCAGGCAGCTATCAAACAGAGCAAAAACTTACATAGTGTGAGAATCAAATATCCATAGTTTCAATGTGTTCACTGATATTGATCGCATAATCGAAATAAAACTTTCATAGTCAGAAAAATATACAAAATCTGATTCATGCATGCCTATTGCCTCTAACAGATCCCAGCTTATTAGTACACAAGCTCTTTTTCTTTTTTCTTTTTTGTGTGGCTATTAGGGAAAAAGGACATAAAATTTATTCAAGGGAAAAAAAAAAGCTGCTACAGATCATGAAGAAAATACTAGATAGCTAAAAGTGGAGTTGAAATAAAACTTAGATCCATTTTGCTATTTGAAAGACTGCTGCAATATTGCAGAAGCAAATGGAACTTTAATATAATTAAGCTCCTCTTTGTAGCATTGCTTGATACCTTTTGAAAGATTCAAGCTTTTGCAACCTCATCTTTTTATGGAATTTCCTGATAAACAAATCTGCCACATTATCGATCTCGTCTTCTAGTACAAAATTCTGTCCTTCTTCCTCTTTGAAATTCCTCACCATGTCTATAGCTGATGCATTTGGATCACCTAAGTATTCGTCCTCTTCATCGAACAACGAATGTGTCAAATCCGGATACTTATCATCATAATCATCATAGTTTTCGCCGTTGCTCAATAGTATTATCTCCTGATTATTCAGGTCATTATACTGACAGTGTAAAGAATCTTCACTCGCTTCAGGGGCATTGTTGTAAAGTACAATGGCCTTGTTGTTTTCATTTTCATGATCTTGGGATTCTTGATCTTCTTCTTTATGACCTAATAATGAATGAATCTTGTGAGAAATGGCCTTAGTTCCTAGACCTGAAAAAGAGAGTTTCTTGGATTTCAGCAATGATAGGACTTCTAGCCTAGTTTTTAGAGCTTCAGTTTTGCTTTTGATGGCTGTTGATTTTGATTTGGCCATTATGGTTAGTACAGAAATGACATGCTTTAGGTACTTAATTGCTGCATTGTTCTTCATTTTGTCTTTCTATTTGGAATCAAACACCAGTAGTGACCTGAAAAATTATCAATATGAGATAGGTTTAGTCAAGAGATATATATAAAGAAGTGTATGAAAATTTAGGTACTGATCAAATTGACATAATAATTAACTCTGTCTTGTGGAGTAAGAGGATCTTATGACATATTACACTATAGTTCTACTACAACAACAATAAACCGAGTGTAACTGGGGTCTGAGGAGGATAACGTGTACACATACTTTATTCCTAGCTTGCGAAGATAGAGAGATTGTTTCCGATATAAGCTCGGCTCAAGAAACAGTGGAAAGGAAGCAACAAATAATAGCAGCAATAAGGTAATAGGACAACGGAAGCGAACGATACAACGTATAATAACAAAGATCTTAGAATAAGAAAATACAATAATAATACTAATACTATGGGTAAGACTAGGAGAAATATATCTCTGTATGAGCATTAGTCTATCAAATGTGTGATGATGAATTAGACAACACAAGATTTTACAACTATGAAATTGAAAAGTATAAAATGTATACTCCGTATTACTACTGCAAAACATACAAAATACATAGAAGAAGAGTTCTTCACAAATCTTACCTTAGAAACTGCTCAGCAACAAGCCAAGAGCAAACCTATTTTCCAAATCTCAATTTGTACTTGCCAAATTTACTTTGAGATGACCTCACTTAGATTGTGTAAACAGCCAAATCTTCTTGCTTTTCAAAGTTTGCCTCACAACCTTTCCTTAGTTAGCCACTTTTCCTTTCTTCTTATGTCAAATCCAAACGTGTTTCTAGGACATTGTATGACCTCTTCAAACTCCAATATATAACTTGCTACTTTGATATTTCTAGGAAAGTACGTAACCTTCAACTTTCTCACCACCTTACACTTTTTTATAGTGTTAAAACTATTCTTTACTGCTCTTTTCTCAATACTTCCTAGTTTTTTTTGTGTGGATAATATTACTTTTTGAGTTAGCTGGTGTGTAATTTGATTATTTCGTCAACTACCTATCACCGGTACGAGCACCGAATAACTACAAGATTTAGACAAATAATTTTTTTTTACTTAATTAATATTTTTTTTTATTTTTATTGAAATCTGAACCTGATATTTCTCGTAATTTTAACTCATTTCTTTAACCGTTGCGTTGTAACCTTTGAAATTCCTAGCTTCAGGGACGGAGCTACTGTAGTAGATGCAGGTTCGGACGAACTCAGTAACTTTTTCCCCAATCCTGTATTTGTATTAAAAAATTTACGGGTTAAATAAAAATATGTCACGTCGAACCGAATAACAAAAAGAGTATGAGTTCAGTTTAAGGCTGTGGGTTTTCATGGAAATCATGCAGGTTCGAGACCCCTTGAAAGCAACGCATTTTATTGCATTTTTTACCACGTTTTCTTTTATTTTTCTTTTAAAAAAAAGAAGAGCACAAACTAATTATAAAATAGAAGGAAACGACAAAGCTCTAAACAAAGGAGCCTACAGGTTTCCTTGCAAAATCAGAATTATACTTTTCCTTTTTTATAAACAAAAGCTCCTCTAAAATACTAAAACAAAAGAAAAAAGACGCATCCTCACAATTTTGCACTTAGTTAGTACGTTGTTTAGAACTCACACACTTCAAATTCTAGCCCCGTCTCTGCTCGCTTCTTCTCATCTAATGCCCTCTTTTAACTTTTCATTTTTCTCACCACATGCTATGCACTTCACCCACAAAGCAACTTTACCATTATTTGTCTATTTGCTTAAACAAAAGCAGTATCTTTCCTTCTTTCACTACTAAATAAAAAGCAAATTTTAGCATAGTTACATCAATAACTTTTCCATGAAGTAACACAAATCTCCTAAGTTTTAGTTTCTTATTGGTTGCCCATACCTAAGAAAAGTAGCACCGACTCTCACTGCCAAAAGAAGAGAAGAGAAAAAGAGAGAGAGCTGTTAATAGGGTAGGGAAAAAGAAGATTCTTGCTTTATCTAAAAGGGGGAAAAGTGTAAATTAACGGCTTAATTTGAAAGGTAACTTGGGTACGGACCTCTATAACAACATTCCTATATAATAACATTTCACTATAAAAATTAAGCTTTTTCGGAATTAACTTTTATGTTATATTATAATATATGTTCTCTATGACAACACTTCGTTATAACATTCAAAAATATTCGGAACAAAGGAGACTGATATAGAAAGGTTTGACTGTACCACATAAATTAAAAGCTATTCAACACAAATTATATAGCAATTTAGTATATAAAAAAGGAAACGTTATAGTGCATTAGTAAAGATTTCCACTTTCGTACACATGCTAAAAAGATATATATAAATCTCAATGGTGGAGTATGAGTTTCTTTTTTTCTTTTTCTTGTTTCTTTGCTTAGTGATGAGTTACCAAATTCAGAATTGAACGTTTAACTTTATTTTGTAGTATCGGTCAATTTGACTTCTTTAATTTTTGAGTCATTATTTAAATACTCACTCAACTATATAAAATTATCTAATAAAGTGATCTTTCTTTCGTTTGTAATAGAAAAATTACTTAATTATGGTTATAACACTTAGATGGTCACTTAACCAGATTCTCAAACTTTTGATTGTCAAATACCTGTTTTACCCTTTAAATTATTAACTTTTATCTTCTTTCTTTTTTCTTTTTTTTT